CCCCCCCCCCCCCCCCCCATAACACAAGAGATGCTTGATCCTTTTACTTTTCTTTGCAATTGTGGGCATCCATTCCCACAGAAACTCATGGGATATTTAACATCTTAGGTTGGTAGCCATAACAACTTAAACCTATTACCTCAAAACCACTAAGGTTCACTCACCAGTCGAACAATCTAGTATGAGATTTTGATCTACTGAATTTATTTGACCAATGAAAAATTACAACATTCTATCAAATTCAAGTTAAGATGATTTTAACCGCTCATGACCTTCAGACTCAAGAACTTGAGCTCTCTTTTTGCGTTCTGCTTCAGCTTGCATCTCCATAGCCGCTCTCACCCCACGAGGGGGAGAAATATCCCCTGGAAGAGAAAAAATTCATAAAGCTGCTTTAAAATTTAACTCAAGACATGGTGGACCTATCGTTCTGAGTAATATAGAACAAACTTATTTCATATCGAAGGCACTGCAGTCCCCAGTCCCTTGCAGCTACATTGATAGACTCCTACAGAATAGTCCATTTAAAAGATTACTAATCAGTTAAACCATTCATTTATTGTCATTCAGGAAACCGATGTAGAATGCAGTATAAAACTATAAAAAGAAGAAGAAATAACGTATTTCCAAATGCTAATTTTATTCCACAGAAAACGAAAACAACCAAAATTCTCAAGGTCGAAAGACATAGTCGGGGAACAGGTTAGAAAAACTATATGGAGCATCAAAAGAGGGGAACGTAAAATAATTACCACTATCTTCTCATTCAGCGTATCTCTTTCCTCAAATGTTTTGTCAAGAGTAATCTTCCCAAGCTCACTACGCATTGTAGTCTGAGCAAGCTGAATAACAGCATATATGGGACTCTCAACTCCATAAGATGCCAGCTTGGGGTCCACTATCTGCACGGTAACACAGAGTGAGAAGACTGTTTCATTTCGTTTGTAAGAGAAACAAAACTAGATGGACTTCGAACAGCTCGAACCAAGCAAACAAGAAAGCACAAGTCCACTTGAGGCTTCACCTAATACCTTAACATAAAGCACCCCATCTATCAAAATGCTGACATTGTCCTTTGTGATAGCAGACTGGTCCGGAATAGGGATAGCTTCCTCCTTCAAGGAATGCACATAAGCTATGCGATCGACAAATGGAATCAAAAAATGAATTCCCGAGGGAAGTGTCTTCACATACTTTCCAAATCGTTCGATCACATAAGCCTTCTTCTCCGGGACAATTCGAATACCCCAATTTACAGGAGGAGTAATCTCATAGCTAACAGAAGACCGGTTAGTTGTAAAATTGAAATATATATATATAACGGAGACAACAGAAGGTAAGTAGGGAGAGTATAGAGGATGAAGAGGAGAAGTCACCTGATGTTGGGATCTCGACCAATACGAAGATAGCGGATGGAGGTGGCAGAGAAGAGAGGAGGTGAGAGGAGAGAAGGAGGTGGAGGAGAAATAGGGTTATTGGAGAAGAGAAAGGAAGAGCGGGCTGGAGAGAATGGGGAGAGGGTGGAGAGATGTCTGGAATGTGCAACGAATTGGAGAAATCTAAGGGTGGAAGAAGCATTGGGCTTGAAACAATTCATCGTTTCGGGAGCGAAATTAGGTGGCGTTGCAGGCACTGGCTGAAGCTGAAACTGAAACAGGTGTAGAAAGAGGGAGGAGATCAATAATAAAGCCCTAGTAAAACCTCCAGGTTTTTAGAAGTAGACCCACCCCAGCTGCTGCGGTTTTTGATTCTTGCACCCCCAAAGCCTGAAGAAGACGAAGAGATCCGCTTCCGCGCTTCCACAAAACAATCTATAATTATACAACATACGCACGCAAAGGGGAAAGGGGAAATTTAACTCAAATTCTAGGTTTTTCTTTCTCTTTTTTTTGGTTAAGAACAAGACAAATGTCACCTTATGGTAATTTCTAAGAAAATCAAATAAGAAGTCTTATAAAATATTATTTCCCTTTTGAGATAAGAAGCCTCGTCGAAGCCTATCGTGGGGGGGTGTGGGTTTTCCGATTTAGCTCACTGGGTTCATTTTTAATAATATAAAAACAAAACATTGTTCCCTCCCCATCCCCAAACCTCTTGTTTATTCCAAATCAATTGTTTGGTCTCCTTCCCTACTAAGCAACCATCACATTGGAAGTCAAGCGCCAAGATGCTACTGGTTGCAAGGTTAATCATCGCCATATAAAGAGGAATTACAAGAGCAGAGGGTCACTCAAGATGAGGGAGCACCGTCGAGGATTTTCGTTGTTTTGACCATGAAAGACAATAGCATCCGAAGACTTTCAAACCATGCATCCACAAATCGCCATATCGTTTTCTTAAACAGTATGTTGCAACATCCATACGATTTTGTAGGGTTATAAGAGTTGTTTCTTTTTAACTATATATTTTCCAATTTAGAGTGTATTTAACATGAGACAAACATTTTGTAAATTGTTTTTTACAACTAAAAGTTCCGTAGTTAGACATTCTTGAAGCTATCTCTAAACACCCTCAGTCTTTTGTATGGGTAAAATGCAATTGCATCTGATCCAGGCAGAACACGAAAACAGAACCAAGGATGGAAGAAAATAGATATCTACTCTATTTCCTACTTCCATCTTGCAATGGTATGTTCATATCCGTCTTCAACACACTGCAGTCTGCATACATTTCGAAAACAAAATACAACCCCGCACAAACATAGTATCCGTTTTAAACACAAAACAAACAAAACACACGATCCTAGAAGGGTAACAGAGCAAGCTTTGTGTCTACAACCGAAAACGTCCATGAAAAATAAATAAACAAAAAAAAGATGGTAGAAGGGTAACTGAGCAAGCTTTGTGCCTAAAATAGAAAACATCCATAAAACAAAACTGTAACAGAGTTTTAATGGGCTTCCATGAAACATCACAAAATTACGCAATTAGTAATGAAAAACACAATTCCCAAAGAAGATAAACTACTCTTGAAACTAAGAGCAGATATAACCTACAATTCTATTCATCCCTCTTCTTCTCCAACAATGGTACCCTTCTCGCTGACATAGATACCATCAAGGAACTTCCGTATATCCTTGTTCTTCACATGACATTTCTGCAAAAGAAGCCAAGAAAGAGGAATGAACCATTTACTCTTTTTCTTTTATGTGAAGCAAAAGCGCCTGCACGTATGAGTTTCATAAAAGCAAACCTGGTTTATAAGGGCACAAGACCGTGAAACAAGCTCAATATCATTTCCATCCAAGACTAACTCATCTTTGACTTTCTCAGATCGGGTAATGGAAACTCCATCAAGCATATCCACCTTTCTCACCTGAAGCAACGATTATGGGCATGGTTCATAATACATTCACAAAAACATATAGTCCATATCCTATCTTGTTCAAGCAACTCAGTCAAATTTCAGCAAAGAACGAAATCAAAGGAAAGCCATGCTAAAAAGGAATTAAAAAATATTAACAACTCCAATTCCAACTTGATTTTCTCCCAATAAGATACAAGCTGTGCAATTGTAATTAGAAAACTGGCGAGAATAAGAATTGAAGCAACCGTCGTAATTACCTAAACCATACAAAACTCTGCCACCAAGAGCAGCATATGAATGATATACGACCATTTTTTTATGTATATTCATGAGCATCCGAACTAAACTTGCCCACCTTTGATAGATGACCTTTCAGATATCAAGTCCAAATCAATTTCTAATCTGGATTTTAAATAGAAGGATGATGTAGATTTGGCGTTGGCTTAGGCTTCTTTGTATGTTAGTTTTGCCGCAGAACCGAAATATGAATTACTAAGTGAACTGGGGATGAGATTCGAAGGGCTGTTGTCCGCACTAAACTTCTAAGTTCAAAGCAATTGAACTATTGGTCCAAAACCATGTGAACATGAAGACGAAATCATGTGATGAGGGAGTATCAAATTAAAAAAAAAATGGTAATTCAAAGCTCAAACATCGAACTAGAATTGAAAACGATGCAAGTAAAGAAATGGGAAAAAAAAACTGACAAGACAGAATTCCACCTACTTTGTCATGTAAAATCTTAGCACTAAGCAGATTACGAGTGATAAAATAAGTAAAATCAGATCACAGAGAGCGTTTACAAACAAGTGACATAACAAGTGATTAAGCAAGTGACAGCACAGGTTTACATGAGTGTACGTACTAATGGAAACAATAGAAATCAATATTTGGAAGTGGGGTAAGTTTGAGAAACCCGACATAACAAAAGGAAGGTCATTCTTAATAAACTGAAGTTACTGAGAATATATATTTCCAAACAAAACACTGATTAAGCAACAAGATCGAAGCACCAAACAGATGACGATTAAAAATGAAGAGTACCTTCTTTTCTCCAAGGAAGTTGCGAATCTCAATCGACTTGCTGCTGTTTGTGATGCTAGCATTGATGGGAAAGTGAGCATAGACGAAACGCATCTTGTAACGATAGCCCTTGGTGACGCCTGTGATGAGGTTCTCAACATGGCTGAGAGCGGTACGAATAGCGGCGGATGTCTTCCTGGACCCAAACCATGCTTCGATCCGGAGCTTCTTCTTGCCGGTGGCCTCGTCAGTGATGAGTTGAAAGTCGAGATTAAGATGCTTGAAGTTACGAACAAGCTTACCACGAGGTCCTTCAACCTCGATGATCTTGGCATTCACCTTGATTTTAACCCCATCTGGGATATCCATGGTCTCGGATGAAAGAATGGTCTTCATTTTTACTCTGAAGATGGAGAGACACTCACGGAAGCGGCGGCAGAAGGCGTAAGAACTCTGTGAGAAGATTTATATACTGAAAACTTGTTATTGTGCGGCTGCAGAAGGAAATCAGAAAATAAGAACCCTAACGTCAAGGGAAGAAGTGATGGGCTTGGGCCGACGAATAGAGTAAATAGACGGGTTGCATTTACCTGATAAAGTGGGCTCAATGATGGGATGTGGGCAGGTTTAGGTGATATTCTATTGGGCTACCCGGCGGAAACGTAGGAACAAGGCCTGGGTCTTCACAAACGGTTATCGACGAAAGAGGGGGAAAATAAGGTTTGGTTGAAATTTGTTTATAGTTGGTAAACTTCAAATAAATTTATAATTATTTATTTTTATGATTAAATTATTGGTTGGATTGAATGAAATAAATTAATTAGGACTTAATATACTGGCGAGCTAAAAAGTGTAAATCATTAAGTAATAAAAACCGACATTCAATTTTGATTAATTTTTGTACACAACATGGAGGTTTTTATTGAAGTGATGATGGAAATAAAAAATGTGTCACGGATGTCCTACTCTGTGGGTTGGGGGGCATGAAATAAAAGGTAAAGCCCTTGATTCGTATCGCCCACAAATATAAAATCTGAGGTTCATATAGATTTGAAAAGCTCCAATAATATTCCCAATCCCTAAGCTAAGCATCAAGCAGGGGAACATAGGTGATTTTGATTTAGTGGCTCAAACTGGCCTGCTTACCCAATGAGTCGCGCAGGCCCCCCCACCCCCACCCTCAACCCATCCCCTTCTCACATTCTCCCCCATTTTTAGACTCCCAAATCCCACCACATAATCCATACATCATAATTGAAATCCTGTCAAGCTTGGGTCTTCAAGTAATTCAAATCATGCAACTCATTAAAGTTGTTAATGAAAAGTTCAGTTTTTGGTACACAGGTGTTTTGATCAGGAAAAGAGAGAAAGAGAGAGACAGTCACAGAGTGCAAGAGGAACAATTTTCCATTTATTTGTTTTGTCTGCGTTAAGAAAAGAGAAAAAAAAAGACATAAAAATCCTCTTTCTCTGTCTCTCTCTCTCTCTATATATATATATAGTTGTTGTGTTGTGTTGTGTTGTTGCAGGTAATGAGGCGAGGGCGAGGAAGGTGGTCATCCAAAGAGCGTGTAGGGCATAGGTATGTGCGAGCAATAAGCAAGCGAGGGAGTGAGTGTGTAAGGGCAGGCTTCTTCCCGGGCTCCCTCTGGACTCCGGGTTATTACGCCACTCATCCATCCAACCTATTCCATTATTCAACAAAGCTACCCTCTCCGGGGTGATGGGCGTGAATCAAATGCAGAAACTGTTGAAGGCCTCACGCCCCATTCTGGCCATGTTGCCCGTCCAAATATTTGCCACCGGAATGCAACTTCTTAGCAAAGTTATTCTCAACCATGGCACCTTCGTTTTCGCACTCATGGCCTACCGTCATCTCGTCGCCGCTCTCTGCGTTGCACCCTTTGCCTTCTTCTTCGAAAGGTACAGTTGATCCAATGTACTTTTTTTTTTTTTTTTTTGTTTATCT